AAAAAAAAAAAAAAAAAAAATCTTGTCATAATTTGTGTCTGCAAATGTTCAATGGTCATTCACGACCAAAACCAACTACCAATAATGAATAATGACTAGAGAAAAATTACGGTCTCATTTTTCCAAATTTCTCTGAAAAAAAACGAACGCGTAATACTACCAACTATTTAATTTCACTTGACCTTTACACTACATGTGAACCAGAGTCAATAGAGCCTCTCCATCTAAACACACAGTAAAATCGTATGTTCAAACATCACAATAAATGTGACAGATCATGAGAATCACTCTTGAATATACTCTCAAACCAAAACAATATATTTATTGAAGAAACGGGGCGTTGACGGGTGCGGTCCCACAAACGTGAAGCGTACCAAAGGAAGATGAGCTTAGATGGACTTTACTTGGGTTCCATTGTAAAACTAATTTGTGATAAAAGGAGTAGTCTAGCCCACTAGGTTCATAAGTTAGACCTATTTTCCGTGTACAGACGACGATGTGGCACAAATGACAAGTGTATATTCTAATATATTTATATAAAGTAAGTAGTAATTATCATACCAAGTCAAATGTAGAGACTCATGAGATACTGCCTTCACAGGACCAAACTCTTAGATAGGACTTTTTATGGTTCCCTTTTGCTCAAATTCTTGAATATGTCTTCTTCCTCTTCACCTCCGCAATTTTAGTATTTACCTCTTTTGCTAGCCACATTACGTCGTGAGCCCATGTTCGATTTTACTTTGAGCACGTAACACATTTAGTCTTAATTGTTTGTTTCGATTGAGGTTCGGAATATCATGGCTGCGGCAAGCACGAATCGTTCTCTGCAAGAGACTCCGACTTGGGCTCTTGCCACGGTTTGTTTCGTGTTCATCTTCTTAGGCATTTTTATCGAGCACTTGATCCACCTGTCGGGCCATGTAAGCACATTATTCGAACAAATTAATGAAAAAATCGATACGTTTCGTACGATATAGCTTTTTTTACATTATTTTAAAATTTTTCGTGTTTTTTTTTCTTTCTTTAGCTGCTCAAAAAACATAAGAAAGCTGCACTCTCTGAAGCAACAGAGAAGCTGAAATCAGGTCAGTGGAAAAGCTTTTTGTTTTTTTCGAAAAGTTTTGCTCGAAAAATCGAAGTTTTATTGTTTTGTATTCTTTTCTGCGTACAGTGTTGATGCAGTTGGGTTTCATGTCGCTCATTTTAACGGTCACTCAAAAGTCGATATCGAAAATTTGCATAACGAATAATCTAGCCAATCACATGCTCCCATGTCATAGGCAGGTAGGATTAGGAAGTAAGGCTATAAATGGTGTGAAGCATTTGTGGGTTCCGTTCGGCGAACAGAACCAAATGCCACCCGCGAATATTAAGGATTCGATTAATTTTTCGGATCATCGTGTAAGAAGAGGACTTGCAGCTGCAGCTTCATATTCTCCAGATTATTGTGGCTCTAAGGTTACATATCTAAACTTTTATTTTGTTTTTTCCGTTATATTCTCGGTTAGATTATTATTATATGTTTAATGAAGTATTTTGTACATGGATTTGGACAGGGGAAAACATCGTTGATTTCGGAGCAGGGGATAAATCAGCTCAACATATTCATATTTGTTCTTGCAGCAATGCAAATTCTTTATAGTGTGGCGACAATGGGGCTCGGAAGAGCAAAGGTAGCGCCTTTTTTCGTGCCTAAACTTAGCTAATAATCTCTTCAAATCTTTTCGTAATTACGCTTAATTAACGAGGGGTTAACTCATGTAACTAAATTATCGACTCGGTTAAAGAAGTCGATAGAGAATGTGTAAGATTGCTACTGAGAAAGGTATTGTATTGTATTGTATTTGCAGATGAAAAGGTGGAAAACTTGGGAAAAGGAGACACAAACAGTAGAGTATATGACACAAAATGGTACAATTTTTAACTGACACAATTTGTTAATTCCTGTTTTAGATTAGTTATATATATCTGAAATGAAATGAGGCTAATTACGATCTTCATTCGTGCGTTTAAAAAAAGATCCCGAAAGATTCAGACTCACGAGACAAACGACATTCTGGCAGCGACATGTCGGGAGTTGTGCTACGAATCCCGCGCAACTTTGGATTGTTAGTGCTCTTTCATTCTCAAGAAACTTTTTTACCTTAAATAAAAATAATAAATGATTTTAAAAGAAAATTAGTATATATCCTCTTCTTGATATGTAATGCTGTCTTAAATTTCGATATAGAAATGCTTCTTCCGGCAATTCTTCAACTCTGTGGCTAAAGTCGACTACTTCACTTTGCGACACGGATTTATTTCGGTTAGTTAGTGCCAAATGCTTCATTGTTAGTTAACATTTCTCCATTTTATAAATATTATTATTGCTTTCTTTAACGTGTTGTGCCGTTTCGTTTATTCTTTTAGACACATTTATCGACCAACACTTCGTTCAATTTCATAAAGTATATTCGGAGGTCATTGGAAGATGATTTCAAATCTATCGTTGGCATAAGGTGTGTAAGAATAATCAATTCGACTGCATATTTTCTAAAGTATATAAATCATAAGTTTCGATCTAACTGTTTTTTTTAATGGATCGATCAGCCCCACAATGTGGTTTACAGTGGTCGTATTTCTGCTGGTCGATGTGCACGGTAAAAAAAAGACTTCACGGTTTTTAGCTTCCGTTTTCGCAAAATGTATTTTCCTAATAGTCTCGATTTTTTTCGATTTTATGATAGGTTGGAATATGTACCTGTGGGTCTCGTTTTTGCCACTGACTGTAAGTACTAACTATATGAATCTGTGTTTTTCTGCATAAAACTTGCTATAATTATAAATTTATTTGTTATAGTGTATTTGTTATTCGATCCCGATTAATAGATTGTTCGTAAGAATTTTGTAGATAGTTTTGTTCGTCGGGACTAAACTGGAGGTGATAGTGGCGAGAATGGCCGTGCACTTAACTGATCGAAACACGGTAATTAAAGGAAGCCCTTTGGTTCAACCGGACGATAGTCTCTTCTGGTTCAACCGGCCTCAGATCGTTTTGACATTGCTTCATTTCATTTTATTCATGGTAAAATATATATTATCTAATCGTCGATTTTTTGTTCGTATAATGTTTCGTTTTTTAATATCACGTGTACAAAAATGACATCATTATGTTGTAACATTTTATTTATTTATTTTTTTGGTAATTATGGACAGAACTCATTTGAGCTTGCTTTCTTTGCTTGGGTCACGGTATATATTTTCCCAATCTTTCATTTATTTATTTATTTGTAAAAA